TAAATATTCAAATTTTTTGCCCATTCTTAAAGTGGGCTGTCTTTTTTCTTACCCTTTTATAAAAGTTCTTTATATATTCTGGATATATGTAAGTCTTTTATTAGTTACAGGTACCAGCAAATTTCTTCCATTCTGTGGCTTGCCTTTTCACTTTAACACATTGACTGCCACGCTAGGAAAAAAAATTTTTTTTTCCTTGAGGCCACGGTGTTTTATTATGAAAACAGACTAAAAATTTTGAAAATAAAACAGTCCTTTGTAACTTAATGAAAAATTTGTTTTTTATTGTTTTCTGTGTTTTTCAATAAAAAATAAAATAACTTGAAAAGTAGTAATGTAAAAAGTAATGCAAAAACCCGAAGAATAGTTCATGAGGGTAAAGTACTTTTCTTGACAGGCTTAAGTATAATTTAAAGGTAAACGTAAGTAGAAAAACGAAATTCACTGACTTCTATTCATTTAATACACGTTTTTAGAATTAAGTTGTCAATATTAATTGTAACAATAAGAACATCAAGATTTTCACGAACCAACTGAAGGGTTTTGCCCTCGTTTTGCTTCACGAGGCCCCGGGCTCAAAACCAGCTTGAGTTAAATGCAACTCACATGGTAGTTAATGTGTTAATCATATCTTGATAAACAGAACTGAAGGTATTTTACAACTACGAAAATCAACCCTAATATTATCTAAAACAATGCACTTGTTCAAAAAAACTAAAGCAGCACTACCATATATAGTTCAACATAGTATATGAAAGTAGAATAACATTTATTCTCTTAAAAATAGGTTATGACATAACAGAGGAAGACCAGTGACATTCCCAGCTAACAAAAGTAGACTTCAGAGTTCAACTTTTGGAAGCAAAATCTCAGCAAGCAACTTTGAGTGCTGCGCAGCTTCTATATATAACTTTTCGCATCCCACTACAAATAAGCACGATCCACTGGACAATGGCCCTAAAGCAGGCACTGAAGGCTGACACCTAAAATAAGGGCCCGATAATGTAAAGATGCAGCTGAGTCCAAAGAGCCACAAATAACAAGCTTCAAAGGCATCACCTGGAGCAAATATGACAAAAGCTAACTAAAGCTAATCAAAAATCTGCGGGTTCGCTGATTCTTCTGAACCCACCTACAAAAGACTGCTTCTACACTGCTAAAGAAATCAAATGTGCAGTAACATAACACTTTAAACGTCACTTTAAAACATGGAAGGAAGTCATTAATTCACTAATAAAATTTATCAATCATATCTGGGCATAGGGTGTGTACAAAATGTTAATAAAGAGAAATGGGGAAAGGTATGTCTGGGATATAAAACAATTTTTAAATGAATAATCTGGTTAAATATCACTAAAGTATGTTTCTATTCATAATTCCTTACTGTATACAACACAAACAAAAAAACAGAAAAGTAACCTATCTGGTTAAA